GCTCAGGCAATTCACTCACCTCGGCCTCCCAAAGCACGAGATTACAGGCTGAGCCACCAAACCTGGCTTAAAATCTTATTGACTCTAATATCTAGGTATTTTTCTTATTTATGTTGGAAAGATAAGCTTTTTTTCAAAGAAAGAAAAGATCTGTTCTGGCTTCTCAGCCCATTAGCAGGAAAACGGAAGCTAAGCTAGCCTCATCTGTAACACGAAGAGCCACTAAGTACTGAAGTGTTTGTATGTTTCTAAAACAACCTTGAGGTTGCCTGGCTCTGGGATAGAGGGAAGGACTGATAAATGAGGTCAAGTCGCTGAACTGACTGCCCTTCTCAATTCCATTTTTATTTGTTTATCTTCCATCTCTCATTATGATCTGTCTGGAAGTTAGTAGAAAAGTAGGGAGGATTTATAGATGTGTCCAAATAGAACTGTGCCTGGCGTTGAAGTCTCTTGTGACAACCACAAAAAAAACAGCAATAGACACACATACGCACAAATACAGACAGAACTCCCATACAAATCGGTTTCGATGGTTGTTTTGGAGACACACAAGCACATCAGTACTTATTGTCTATATTCATTGTAGGGTGAGGCTGACCCAGGTCCTATGTCCTCTTTGACTGAGAAGCCAAGACAGATAATGTACCTGGAAAATGAGTTTCTTACTGCCACCTTCTCTCCCTCTGGCTGCCTTCCCTCCTCTGGACACTTCATCATTCCTGTCTCCTCAGTCTTCAGCCTCTTTCCTCCACACTCTTGACACTCCACTCATCTCTCCTCTTTTTTGGGGGCTAGGAGTCATATCTTATACTGGACAGATAGATCGCCTTACTTCTCAAAGTCCTTTCAGTTTGATACTCACCAAGGAAGGGTGGATTTCTTTGTTGTTGACAGCAAAGGGAAGTGAGGTTGATGAAGGTTAAGTGACTTGTCTTCCACTAATGACTCAGTAGATATTTATTGAGTGGCTACTATGTACAAAGGAAGGGACTATGTGATACAGGTGATGTGCCCAAGGATTCGGGCCTGCCCAGCCAGTTATGAACACCAGCTGGGACCAGAGTACCAACATTCCTTATTTCTTTCTTTTTGTTTGTTTTTTTGTTTGCTTGTTTGTTTTGAGTTGCAGTCTCACTCTGTCACCCATATGGAGTGCAGTGGCCGCTCCCGGCCACTGTAGCCTCCACCTGCTGGACTCCGGTGATCCTTCTGCCTCAGCCTTCCAAGTAGCTGGAATTACAGGCATGCGCTACCATGCCCGGCTGATTTTTTGATTTATTGTAGAGATGAGGTCTCGCCAAGTTGCCCAGGCCAGTCTCGAACCCGCGGGCTCAGGCAATCCACTCACCTCAGCCTCCCAAAGCGCGGGATTACAGGTGTTTTGTTTTGTTTTTCCTTGAGTCAGGGTCTCACTCTGTCACCCAGGCTAGAGTACAGTGGCATAATCACAACTCACTGCGGCCTTGACCTCCTGGGCTCAGGTGATCCTTCCAACTCATCCTCCTGAGTAGCTGGGATTACAGCCACATGCCCCCATGCCCAGCTAATTTTTTGATTTTTTTGAGATGAGATCTGGCTGTGTTGCCCATGCTGGTCTCAAACTCCTGGGCTCAAGCAATCCTCTTAAAGGGATTACAGGCACAAGCCACCATGCCTGGCCGAACATCTTTATTTCTTACCCCTTGTTAAAGGGTCCCATGGAAAATCTAGCCTAAGTCTTTTGTCTTGAAAGAGCAGTCTATTGTGTCTGCTTGTTTCCCCTTAACCTTCTTGTCCCCATCCAGATATAGTCTTGCTCAATAGGCTCTTTGCCAGAGAAGTCTGCTTTGCTATTATTATTCATTCACTCATTTAACAAATCTTTACTAAGCACCAGCTGTGTGCCAGACACTGTCTCAGACACTAAGAAAAAGAGAAAAAAACAGCTATAAACCTGCCTTCCTAAAACTTATAGTCTAGCTGCCGATCAGATATTTCCCAGACTGTCACAAAAGCAATGACAGATGGCAGCTACAGGAGGGTTTGGGGAAAAGAATATGGGGCTGAGAGCTTATAACTGGGGCCCACTCCAGGTTTTGGAACACTGATGTGGACAGATGGGGAGGAGAGTATGGCCTCATTGTTGATTGAATGTTTCCAAGTCACCTCTGATGTGGATTAGAGCTGACAACAAAGAATCAACCCCTTTGTGCTCTGCTACCATCATACTTACCTGTACACCCCAAGCACCTCTCACTGGCCTCTCTGCCTATTCTTGGCTCTCTTCAATCTGCTTTCCACATTAAAGCTGGAGAATGTGAATTTGACTGTGCCATGCCTCAGCTTAAAACCTTCAGTTGCTTTCCAAAGCCCTTCAAATGCAGACCAGCAACCTTAATGGCTCCTTGCATGCCCTTGGCCATCCAGCCCTCCCTGTCCATCTTGCATCAGTCCTCTCCCAGCCCTCCATGGCCAGGTTCACACTGGCTCCTCTTTGTTACATCATGGGGTCTTTACCCATATTGTCCTTTCTCTCTAAATACCTCAAAGTAGCTCTCTCTCCATTTCACACATGATTGCAAAGGTGTTTCCTTTCAGGAAGGCTTTCTTGACTGCATACTTGAATAGATTCCTGACTGTAGGCACCCATGGATGGTAATTTCCCTTGATAGTGTTTGTTCCAGATTATAATTATATTTGTATGGGATTATTAAGATTATGTCTGTTATGCTCCATGAGGACTGAATCTGTGTTTTCCCCACCATTGTGTCCCTGGCATCTGGTACAGTATCTTCCACCTACTGAGTATCCAAAGAAAGGATGGATAGGTTCATGAAGAGGATTATAATCATGACAGTTAAAAGGACAACCCCAGAATCTTACAGTTCAACTCCTTCAGTGAACAGACCGGAAATTGGAGAATCAGAGAGGGGAATTGACTTACCTAAGGTCATGCAGCAAGGTAGTGGCAGAGCTGGCCTGGGATCATGACTTACAGCTCTTGCTACAATGCTATACTGCTCTCCAGAGACTTCCTCCCTTTTCCTCAAACATTGGTGCTCTTTGAGATCCATACCTGTAGCTGAGACACATAATATGTTGGTTAGATGGAGAGACCATCTGACTAAGCATTACAGGTTTTCAAGTGAATTATTTAGCTCATTAAGGCACATAAGGCCTGAGAATTCATTTGAGACTTTTTTCTAGAATTGATTTTCAAATAAACTCTAAGGTCTCAAGTGAATGCCAGTTCCAAGGCACTGAGGAGAGGGCCATGGCCTCTACCCTGCAAGGCAAACCCCTCAGCCTTCCTTTCTAAATTAGTTCATTAAAGCCTACAATAAACAGAGGTCACCTTTTTCACATCCCTCCACCCCAAGAAAGGCATGAGGCAGTAGATGTCCCCCAGGCAATACCATCTCATGGCCAACAAGGGCATTTTCTGAAATCTGACAGGGGGATAAACAATTGTTCTACCTCTTAAAAGATATTTATGCACCTTCCAAAGTGTGACCAGGGCACAACTCAAAAGTGTCAGATGTTTCCTCTCTGTGCATATGAAGCAGCAGCTTTACTGCCATGTATTATACCCCAGAACCATGTAGCTTATATAAGCTCCCGAATGGTAGGCGGTGGAACAAAGGCAAAACATTCTTAATAGAAGTCTTGGTCTCGGGACTTGGGCAGCCCAGTAGAACAATTGGGAGTTTTCCACTAAGCAGAATAAGTTCTCTACCAGGCAGGAGCACCCTATAGGCAAGGAAGGAACTAGGGTGAAATAAAAGACTGTACAGTCGGACAATTTGAATTACCAAGAACAAGTTCCTTCCCCTCTCTAGAGGCTCGGATTTTCACCTACAAAACAGACTGAACATAACACCTACATTCATTGTTAATTCACATTTACAATGCCAGGTGCTCTTCTAGGGACTGAAGACATTGTGGGGAACAAGAAGGACACAGTCCTTGCCCATGTGGAGCTTATATTTCAGGAGGGGAGACAGATAAGTAAATGCATATTATCTAATGCTTATTTCATTCCAATTATGGTATCATTTAGAAGGTAAAATGAGATTTAAATAGTGCTTAACGTTTAGTGCTATATGCCAGATAGCATGTCAGGTATTTTACATATAATAATAACAACAATAATGACTTTCATGGCATGTACTGTAAACCAGGCACTGTTTTAAGTACTTTTCACGCATTAATTCACTTAATCCTCATAGGGACTACTATTATCCCCATTTTGTAGGTTAGAAACCTGAGATGCAAAGAAATTAACTTGCCCAAAGACACAGTCACTAAGTTGCAGAGAAAGACCCATGCAGCCTGAGCACAGAATTTGTATACTATATGCTGCCTCTCATAATATTATCGTCTCATTTACTTCTTACAGCCATTCAGTAAGTCCAATTGTTATTCTCATTTTATATACTTGTACATAAAAGCAAACTGTATAAGTAACTTGTCTGGTTCGCACAGTAGTAAGGTGGTAAAGCAAGATGGGACACACAGGGTACCTCCTGGAATACACGTGAGGGGTTTGGCTCAGTGCTTAGCCCCAGGGAACTGGTCTCTTCATGGCCAACTCTCTTACCATATTTCCTGGCCTTGTTCTTGCTCAGGTCTTCCTGAAGAGCGACCGTGTAGCCCGCATGGTACAGAGTGGGGGCTGTTCCGCCAACGACTCTCGGGAGGTCTTCAAGAAGCACATTGAGAAGAGGGTGCGCAGCCTGCCCGAGATTGATGGCCTCAGCAAGGAAACTGTGCTTAGCTCCTGGATGGCAAAGTTTGATGCCATCTACCGTGGGGAAGAGGACCCCAGGAAGCAGCAGGCCCGGATGACGGCCAGCGCGGCCTCGGAGCTGATTCTGAGTAAGGAACAACTCTATGAGATGTTCCAAAACATTCTTGGGATCAAGAAGTTTGAACACCAGCTCCTGTATAATGCCTGCCAGGTAAGGTGTCTCTCACCTGGGCCCAGAGCTGTGGGTAAGCTGAGCTGCATTATGACTTCTCTGGGTGGCTTCTTGATAAAAATTAAAATTAAATTAAAATTAAAAATTAAATGTATTTTATGACCACACTGATAAAAAATTGAATATGATCCAGCCTAGAGTATATTCATGCTTTTCTTCTGATTAAAAAAAAATTAAAACATTTTTGTGAGTCCCTAAAAGGCTCAGGGCCACTAAGCACTGAGCTTGTGTCAAATGTGTAAGCTGGCCTTATGAGTAAGGCCTGATTTCCATGTTTCAAAAGTGCTAAAAATCAAAATAATGATTTTTTTAAAGATCCTTCTGCCTTTAAAATAATTGGTGTTTTACCAGTTGAGGAGTTTGCACTTCTTCAGCTGGGGAGACAACTGGACTTAGCACCTGGTCATCAAGGGTAATTATTTAAAACAGAAAGCTTGCACAAGGTCCGAATTAATCATACACGTATGTTAGTCTCATCATGAATTTCCAAGTGGATCTGAGGAGGAGAGCTGAGGCTCTACTTGGACCAATGTAAAAATGGGCTTATCTTTCCTCTGGGTGAGGGTTGGGGAAGCAAAGTATCCTAGATCTTGATTTCCTACCTAACTTTACTGTTATTCATTCGTCCAATAAATATTTATTAAGTGCCTACCTTGTGGTCTTTGGAATTTTAGTGAAAGTCACTTGGAAGCATTTTTAACCTACATAATGAACATTTGTATACTTAATCCTGAATTGTACCCCACATCTTTAAAATAATTTTTAAAAAAAATTTAAATGCACATTCCCAGCTCTCAGCCCTAGAGATTTTCATTCTACAACCTCAGAGTAGAGTCCAGGAATCTGCACTTTAAACAAATGCCTCCCTTCCTGGTAATTTTGTTGCTTTTCCCCTAAGAACGATTCCAGTGGTTTCGCTTTGCCTTGTTCATTAATATTCCCAGTGCTTGAAACAATTCTTGGCACATAGTGAGTACTCAGTAAATGTTTACTGAATTAATAAATGAATAATGGAAAATTATTTTAATTAGTAGGTAGTGTCTTATCAACTATTATACATTACCCAGAAGTCTCTGGATATTTTAATAAGTAGGAGTCTGTTTAACAATTTATAATATAATACGTGTATTACATTAAAAGATATTCCTGATACCTATTTTCTTCTCGGCCAACTTCAATTCAAAACATTGATTATCAATCTGGAGGCACAGGGCTTCTTTGATGGGTCAAGAAGTATTTCAGAATTCTCAGATACATTTCAATATAAAATTAAACTTAATTGTTCTTTTTATTTTAAATATCACTATTTTCTATGTGTCAGTTTTAGAATGGAATAGACAAATGACATTAGCTGCTACTACCACCACGGCCACCAGCTTGTCCACCACAAGAAAGTGTCATAGTTTCAAAGAGACTGAAAATTACCTACCTGAGCTATGACTGAGATCCAAAATTACAGAGACAGTCAAATATTCTTAAACCTGCTAGGTATGAAATTATTGTAGAAATTAATTTTTCTTGTTGCAGCAGTTTATCATGCATATGTTCTGTGCTTCCTCAGACGTCAGCATCATTGGAATTCCATTGCTCTACCATTTCATGTTTTATCTCAGTGTTTCTGAACATGTTAAAAAGAGTTAAGTAGCAGGACCATATTTTTGCTCTTCTTTCTTAAAACGTGAATTAATTCAACTCATTTTACCTTCAACATCTTTTTTTGTGAGTTAAAAATAAATATAGTAATGTTAAAAAATAATATCCTCTATCCCTAGAATAATGATTGTCCCCTTAGCCAAAAAAAAAGAATTATAAGAAAGGTAAAGGAAAGGACTTCTTGGGACAAGGATAATTAAGGCATTTAGTATTATGTTCTGTACTTACACCTAAGTCTGATTATTGTTTAAGGGTTTTATATCAGTAGAAATTAGGAGAAAGAAAATATACAGGTAATTCATACCCACAAAAAATACAAATCAATTTACACAAATACAAATGTAAACGTAAGGTTTTTGACTTCTGTGTCCTTAGTAATCTAAGTTACATGAATATATGGGCTAATAAAAATATTTTAAAGAGAAGACAACACTGGTAATGGTATTATTTGCAAATGTGATAGAAATGGGTAGTCTCATAACTTACTGTTGTAATAAATTATTAGTCTGCTAGTTCATTCTGTTAATTTGCAGCAAAATACCTTTATAATGGGTAAACCTTTTGATCCAGGAGCTCCATCTTTAGGAATTTGTTATCAGTAAATACTTAGAGATATATGCAAGAGTGTTAAGTCTAAAGATGTTCATTGCAGCCTTTTATATGGCATGAAAAAATGGAAACAGGCTCAATTTCCAACAGTAGGGGATTCATCATTAATAATTAGACTTTGATTTAACCATACAAGGGAATATTCCTTATCCAATAAAACAATAAAAAAAGAGTTGTTGAAGAAGAAAGCTTACCATGTGGGAAAATAATCATTAGGTATTGCTAAATCGAAAATACACCTATGACACAGAGTATGCAGGTACAGCCCCATTTTTATGGGGGGGAGGAAGGATGGAAAAAGCACTAGATGGGCAAATAGCAAAATATTGACTGTGCTTAATTTGAAGGTGTAACATTATGGTTGAGTTTTATTATTTCATTTGTGCTTTTTTATGCCTGCAAATTTTCTGCCTTAAGCATATAGTTCTCTTGTAAATAGAAGCAAATACTAAAAGTCTAAACAAAGAAATTATCAAAACAATGGGATAAAAAGAAAATTGTTTTCTGGACTTCAGTCATTAATATATCACCTTCATGATTTTTGCCATTTCCAAATACCACCAGGATGATGCTTGATTTAATATTATTAAGCCAACTCCCAACTCACCATTTAACCCATCTTTATTTTAAGGGGTGGTTGTAAAATCACAACTTTGATGTACTACCATTTGTAAAATAATTATATGCATTAAAGTGCCTAACCATGAAAATAGAAACTCTTCATTGGTTGGTCCTCTTAAGATTATCTCATACCACTAGTGATGTGGCTGGGGCAACCAGTGCTCTGATGTACTGAGTCTGGCAGGGCAGAGCTCTCTGACGTCATCCCTGAAAATAGCCCAGACTGACCAGAGCAGCTTTCACTTGAAGTCTGCATAGCCACGCAGCAAAGAGATATAATTTACCTTTATCTTCGTTTCTTGCTGGCAGGCTGTATATAGACTGGCAGGGAAAATACTCCACCTCTCATGCCCTGGAATCAGGAATTATAGATTCACTCAGTCATCTTCTTATAGACTACACTCATCTCTGCAAAAACTCATCAACTCACAGGAGCAGGGATACAGAAATGAAATCATATTGCTTTCATCCTCACCCTGCTTAAATTGTTTCTTGTTTTGTATTTTCTAGACCTTCATCTCTTTAGCAAGACAAAGCAGTTCCTAGGTGTTTCCAAAACCTTAAACATATATAACATTTTCTTCTTATGCATATTGCATCTGAGGGGAAATTGTAATCTGATTTCTGATGCTGCTTCTTGACAATTTCCATGCTCTTTCTCTATGAGGTTCTGCCAGTAACTGCCATTTTTATCTCAAATGAGAAACGACATTTATCAAAGAGCGATTATATCAGTTGCATATCAGTTGTCTCTTGTAACATGAACTGTGTCTATCAAAACTTAAGAAAAAAGCAAGAGGGTTTAACAAATGTCTCTATAATATTTGCTCATGGAGTTTTGTAAAAGTCTGTTTTGTTTATTTGAGATTTAATTGATTAATCTACTAGAAGAGGTTGCTCATACTCAACATATTATCTAATGTAAAATAATTGACAACTTTTGTTATAAAATCAGTTTTGTTTTGATTTTCATAGACCCTTGGGAAAAAGCAGTCAATTATATAGCTATTTGAGCATCTGAGTTGAATTCTAAAGCTGACTCAAAAAAATCAAGGCAATCTCTTTGACAATAGGTTGCATCATCTGAGAAATGAAACTGAGACAGACTTGCTTTCCATCTTCATGAAATGCAAAGCTATTAATGCTGATGATGTGACATTTTTGGCTGGAAGTAATGGCTCACACTTGTCCCAGCACTTTGGGAGGCCGAGGCAAGAGGATTTCCTGAGCTCAGAAGATGGAGACCAGCCTGGGCAACACAGCAAGACTTTGTCTCTTTAAAAAAGTTAGCCAAGCATGGTAGCATGTGCCTATAGTTCCAGCTACTCAGGAGACTGAGGCAGAAAAATTGCCTGAGACCAGCAGGTCGAGGCTACGGCAGCCATGATTGTGCCACTGCACTCCAGCTTGAGTGGCAGAGTGAGACTCTGACTCAAAAAGCAAAACAAAACATCTTTAACATGCACCATCTCTCCTCTTTCCTCTTAGTAGCCTCCAAATTTGTTGACAATTCAATGCCCAGTCATTCTAGTGTATTTCCTACCCCTCTGCTAAACTTTATGAGTTATCTTTAATTAGTCATTCTACGTGTGTGGACATTCTAAAATGTGTAGATGTTTTCCCTTGAAAAACACCTTGGAGGTGCATTTTAGAAGGAATCGAGTTCCCATCTTGATGTATTTTTTAATGTAAATAAACTCTTAGTGAAGCAACCTAGATAATTTTGAAGGGATGTGGGCAAATATGAGCTAAGGAAGTCACCTGTTTCCTTGTGTTGCCATTCTACTCTGAATCTGCCATCTCTCATTGTGCTGTTACTGATCATACTCTTAGCTCCTAGAAACTTCAGCAGCCTCACTCAAACCTTCACCTTAGCCACCATATGTGCCTGATTGGCAGCAGGGATAATGTGCATACACCAACTAATAGTAAATGGCAGTATTCTTTTCATTTACCCTCTGAATTTCTAGAGATTTTTCTGATAAGTCTGGAAGACTTGACCTTGACTTAGACACATGAAATATGGTTTCCCAATCTATAAACATCTTTGCGTTTTTCTATATTAAATTTTCCATCATTATTGAACTGCTAATTCT